TCTTCGTTGTTTCTCTTACTCGACTTAGGAAGCCCCCTGCAGGTGCAGGGCCGAAGCGCCGCCTTGAAAAATCCGCGGACACAGCGTTCCAACGCACAGGATGGGATCAACGCTCAGGCCGCTGTGAGAGCCAGGAGCGGCCCATTTCACCGCCGTCCTGAGGCCGAGCGAGAGGCCAGCCCAGGATCGACAACCTAAGAGCAAGGACACTCAGGCTGCACACCCTCGGGCTGGAAAGGAGCCTGAGGAGCAGGCAGCCCTGCGCCAGGGCCTGAGAAGGCCATCACCCCAGCTCGCGGCCTGGCCCGCGCTCGGCCTGCCCACCCCCACCCCAAAGGCACAGAGCGGAACAAGTGCCGCCTCCCTGGGCGGGCCGCGAGCACCGCAGGACCGCACCGTGTGCGCCGGGCACCTTGCGCCGTCCCCCCGAGAACCCCCTCGGCACCCGCCGGCGCCACCTCCGCGGGACCTCGGCCACCTTCCCCCCGCACCTCCTTCCGACAGGACCTAAGTCCTCCACGAGCCCCAGCTGTCCCCGCGGCCACTCTGGCGGCACCGCGGACCTGGCCAACCCAGCGTGCCAGGTGCCTCCCCCAGAAGTGCAGAGCGTGGCTGCCGCCTCTGCAGCTTCGGTCCGGACGTCCGACCTCCGGGGTCACCCGACTTCAGAGCCCTGTCATCCTAGGGGAACGGGATGCCCCAGCGCGCACTGAGGACCCGCAGCCACCGATGGGGCCGCACTCACCCGCAGCTGGTGGACACTGAGCCAGAGCCCCACGGCTCTGCTTCGGCATAGCGCCTGTGCAACACACGCACACACACGCACCGTGTGTGTAAATACATATGAACAGAACAGGTGGTCCATCAGACCTAAACTACTCACAGTCGCAGACCATGTCAGGAATCGTGGCCACCAAAGTGCCCTGACAAATACTGCAGAAGAGACTGGGCGCTTTGGTGAGAAGAGCCTGCGCACATGACCCTGGCGGCCAGTCACCATCGACTTCACGTCAGCCCCATTTCTGTACATACACACATGTACACACATATGCACACATAGACATACATCCATACACATACACATGCACATATACACACACACACATGTAATTTCAACCTTAACTTTCAAGGCTTAAAAATCAAAGACCCTCCTTTCTCTAGATTCCATGAGTCATAACTGCCCAGGCTCAGGAGTAATTTTGTTTAAAAGAACAACTTTTTAAATCAAATTACTCTCCTTCAGAAGGCTCTGGAGCCCTGGTGAGGGCAGGCTGGGAGGCAGCGACACACGGAAAGGAAAAGGAGCGAGATTGCAGAGAGCCCTTCTACGCGGACGGCTGGGGCAGAGCACCTGCTCTGGGGTGGCCGCCACACCCAGGGTGGGACAGGGCCAGCCTCCCTGGAAAGCCATGGCTGCCCCCCGCAGGTGTGTCCACACTGAGCGCCCTGTAAATCACAGGGGCACAGGGTGTCTTCCACTGCCACTCGCACTCCTGACAGTCCCGGCGCACTGTCACCCGGCCTGAAGGTCTCCAGTGACACACGCCCTCTTCCCGTGGGACTTGCTGCTGCTCAGCAGAAAAGGACCGCGTGGCTTCGTCCAAAGCACGGTACAGGGGAGGTGGTGGCAGGAGCGGGCGCGCGCTCCTAGGGCCCGAGGAGGCGCTCGGCGAGGATCGCATCGTAGTAGGGACAGAAGACCATCTTGTTATAGGTGACCAGGCGAGCGAACTTGACGGCCACCTCCTCCAGCTCTCTCTGAACGGGACCCAGCCCGCCAGGCACCGTGGGCAGGGGCTTCTGCTGACCCGCGGCCAGGAAGGTCTCCAAGAAGGTCAGGATCCGGGATTCTGAGATGGAAATGAAAGAGCTTAGCCGGTGCTGGTTCGCGACATGCTTCAGTTCCTACCTTCGCCATCACCTTTGCCACCTGGAGGCTTTCCTGGTTGCCCCCAGCCCAGATACCCACAGCACCCTGGCTTCTGAGCACCAGGAGTGCCCACTTCTGTCTCTGCTCTCCCTCGCAATAAGCAGGAGAGTAGAAACCAGGCTTTCCTATACACCCTCTCTCCTCTCACCCAGTAGCACCGGCCCAGGGCCCAGCTCCTAGCAGGAGCCCAGGGCTCACCTGGTACATGGGACTGAACGTATTGGTCTGGAGGCCCCGGGGCCTGCTCTGCTCTCAGGAATGAGGCCCACTGGGAACCAGCAGTTAGCGTAATGGCTATGTCGCTGGACTCCCACGTAGTCGACCGCGGTTCGCGTCCCGGACCCGGTGGCTTAGAACTCACACCGGGCGTGTGTGCGTGCGTGCCCAAGATCCCGAGAGGAGAATGGAGGAGAAGGGATTGCGGCGTGACCATCCCCCCTGGGGGGTGATTTCTCGCTTTCTGTCTCTGTCTCTCTCTGTCTGGCGAGCGCACGCGCCCTATAGCGAAAAAAAATCTCTCAAAATAAAAAAAAAAGGAATGAGGCCCACTGAGACCAACCGTAGCCATTCTGCAGACCACATAAAAGGAAGAGGAAAATAAAGCAAGGGTTACAAGTTCAAAAAAAGAAGAGGAATGGGCTGGCACCATGGCCTAATGGTTAAGGGAACTAGATCCCACATGGCCGACTGCACAGTTCAAATCCTGACACTGGTGGCTTGAAAGAAACTCTGGGTGGATGTACCCTAAATCCCAGCAAAACAAAGACGTGGAGAAGGGATTGCGGCATGACCACATCACACTGGGGTGCTTTTTGACCCTCCCTTTCTCTGACTCTCCCTCCCTCTGGTGAGTGCATATGCCCTCTGGCAATTAAAAATTTTTAAAAGAAGATTCAGGGGCCAGCAGGTGGAGTGGTGGTTAAGGTGCTGGACTCCCACATGGCCGATCACAATTCAAGTCCTGGACCTGGTGGCTTACTTTTTCACTCTTTTCCTCTGGTGAGCACACATGCCCTATAGCAAATTAAAAATAACAGGGAACTAGCAGTTAGTGTAATGACTATGTCGCTGGACTCCCACGTAGTCGACCATGGTTCGCATCCCGGACCTGGTGGCTTAGAACTCATGCCGGGCGCGTGTGCGTGCGTGCCCAAGATGCCGAGAGGAGAATGGAGGAGAAGGGATTGCGGCATGACCATCCCCACTGGGGGGTGATTTCTCGCTTTCTGTCTCTATGTCTCTCTCTGTCTGGCGAGCGCACGCACCCTAAATCAGGGGCCAGTAGGTGATAAGTTGGTTGAGGTGCTAGACTCCCACGTCGCCAACAACGGTTGAGTCCTGGACCTGGTGGTTTGCGTTCTCATTTTCCCTCTCTTCCTCTCACCCTATAGCCAAATTTAAAAAATAAAATAAGTTAACAATAAATTTATTTTATTAAATTAAATAATTATTATTTTTTTAATTATCTTTTTTTTGGGGGAGAGAGGTTTTTGCTATAGGGCACGTGCGCTCACCAGACAGATGGAGAGAGACAGAGTCAGAAAGCGAGAAATCATCCCCAGGGGGGATGGCCACGCCGCAATCCCTTCTCCATTCTCCTCTCGGGATCTTGGGCACACATGCACACATGCCTGGCATGAGTTTTAAGCCACCGGGTCCGGGACATGAACTGTGGTCGACTACGTGGGAGTCCAGCGACATAGCCATTACACTAACTGCTGGTCCCCAAATTAAATAATTATTAAACAAAATTAATTATTATTAAACTAAATTAAATTTTTTAGAGTTTTGAATAGGATGCATCTGCTCACCAGAGGGCCAGAGAGAGACAGAGAGACAGAAAGTGCGACATCACTCCCCCAGGGAGGCTGCAATCCTTTCTCCATTCATCTCTCAGGATCGTGGGGACGCATGCACATGAGCCCAGCATGAATTTTAAGACGCCGAGTCCAGGACTCGAACTGCAGTGGACTACATGGGAGTTCAGTAACATAATCATTACACTGTGTGCTGGTCCCATAAATAATTATTTTGAAAATAATAAATAAATAAAATAAACCTTAAGAACAAAGATTCCAGCACTGCTGACTTACAATCTGCCTTTCCCGACTACATGCACATGAAAGTGTGAACACCTCCTTGGTGCCCACAGTGGAGGCCATGGGGCCTGGGGCATGTGTCAGCCTGCCCCCTCCAGGCAGCCACGCAGGCTGAAGTCACTCAGACCGTGTCCTCGGCGAGGCCGGGCTGTTGTCCGGTGTAGCTACCTCATCTGAAGAGCTGAAGGAACCACACTTCCCCAGATCTTGTTCCAGAACAGGAGGGACAGTGACACTGAAGGGCTCTTTCAAACACACGCCCTGCCTCTGCCCTGAGAGGTCCTCCAGATACAAACAGCTTCTACCTTCTCGAACCCAAAACATACCCACCGAGAAACAGCTGACAGGGCCCTCCCAAGTAAGTCTGCTTCTCCAGCGTTCCCAGAAGTGGAGACCCTCCGAGTATTCCTACACAAGGCCCATTTGTTGTGTGTGTGTGTGTGTGTACACGTGTGTGTATGTGTGTGTCTTTTCAAGTTTTCACTTATTTTTTCCATGAGCCAGAGAGACAGAGAGAGAGAGAGACCACACCCCCGGGATTCAGTCCCCACCCGCCATGGGTTATGGGTACACACATGCCAGCTACACTCATGGCGGTTTCCGAATTCGACCCACAACTTTCCCCCGTGGGTCAGTCTTGCAGAAGGTCCACCCTACTGCTGCACCAGCACCGCCTCCAGTCAGGCAGGTCTCTAACTGGCTCTACCTCAACAACCGAGATGGCAGCTGGGAGCAGCCTGTCCCCCAGGCCCAGTCACACCTGGGAGCGGCCTGTATCCCAGAGCAGCCCGTTCCCCCAGGCCCACTCACACATGGGAGTGGCCGGTCTCCCAGGCCCAGTCACACCCAAGAGCAGCCTGTCCCCCAGGAGCGGCCCATCCCCCAAGCCCAGTTACAGCGGGGAGTGGCCCATCCCCCAGGCCCAGGCCCACTCCCAGGCACCTCTGTGTCACTCAGCCAAGGCCTGGTACGAGCCGAGCCTCGAGCCTCGATGACTCAGGGCCTGCAGAATTGCAAGACCCTCCTCCTGAGTGACCACAGTGTAAACGATTACCATGTGGGGGGTGGGGTGTAGTATATTTAAAATTCTTTTTGAGTTATCTTTTTTTTGGAGAGGTTTTTGCTATAGGGTGCATGTACTCGCCAGACAGACAGAGAGAGACAGAGAGATAGAAAGCGACAAATCACCCCCCCAGGGGGGATGGCCACACCACAATTCCTTCTCCTCCGTTCTCCTCTCGGGATCTTGGCACACACGCACACGCACCCACCATGAGTTTAAGTCGCCGGGTCCGGGACTCGAACCACAGTCGACTACATGGGAGTCCAGTGACATAGCCATTATGCTAACTGCTGGTCCCTATCTTTTTTTCATGAAATATTACTTGGGAATAAAAAGTCAGAGAATTGGGGCCAGCAGGTGGTGTGGAGGTTAAGGTGCTGGACTCACATGGTTGACCGCAGTTCAAGTCTGAGACCTGGCGGCTTTTTCACTTTCTCCCTTTCTCTGTCTATCTCTCTCTGGTCAAACTAAAAAAATAATAATAAAATAAAATAACTTCTAAAGTCATTTAAAAAAGGTAGAGTATTAGAAGCAGCCTCATGTCTAGTCCCCGCCTCATTCTCCCACCTGAAGCAGCAGCACCGGGCTCGGCTTCGCCGGGAGCTTGCCAATCCCTTACTGTCCACTTGTCTAACACCGATCTGCTCTCTCGGGCCCGGACGAGGGTCTAGATTTTAACTTGACTGTTAAAACCTGAACTTTAAAAATTAAGCCTATTCCTTGATCAACTAAAGAATTCCCAACCCAGCTTAGTATTAATGTATAATTGACAAATAAAAATGAATATATTTACAAAATAAAACATGTTTTGATTATTTAAACTGTGACATGATTAAACCAAGCTAATTAGCAAGGAATGTCTCATTGCACTTTGGCTGTGATGAAAGGTAGCAGCTCAAGTTGGTGGCATGGTGGTTGAGGTGACTGAGTCACATGTGGCTGGCACGCACAGCCCGCGCCCCAAGCCCAGCAGCCTGAAAAATGCCAGATGCGTGTGTGCCCAAAATCTGAGAGAAGAATTAAGGTGAAGGGACTGGGAAGTGGCCGACCGCTGGGGGAGGGGAGTGCTTTCTCACCTCCCTTCTCCCCCATCTCCTCTCCAGGGAGCGAACATGCCCTCTAGCAAATTAAAAAAAGAAAAAAAAACGTAACAGATCAGAGATGAGGAAACTTGACTGCCAAGATGCTTGCCATGCTACATGGGAAGTGGTGGAGCCAGGTTCTGAACCCGGGCCTGGGACTGCAAAGTCCGGACCCTCAGAACAGTGACTCTGCTGACCCCTGTCCATCTCAGTGGCCCTGACCACATGTGACTAAGCACTCTCGTACGTACCCATGATCCTGCGAATGGGGTGGTCAGGACTGGCCACGGCCTGGATCTGGCCCTTGAGCGCAGCCTCCTTGTCCGAGGAAAAGGGGGATGAGCCACACCGCGAGAGGAAGCCGCCCACCTCCAGGCACACTCTCTCCCCGATGGCGGTCAGGGCGGCCGGCAAGTGGAAGGAGCTTGAGCAGAGAAGAGAAGGAAAAGCAGGACAAAGGACCGGTCTGGTCCTGAAGCAGCCAGGCCTGGCCGGCCTGATGGAGCACCCCGCTGCCCCGCTGCCTAAGGTGAGCTCCGCTCAGAAGGCGTGAGCCTTTCCCGCTTCCTCCCTGGGCTGTGCACCTTCCCTTCTCTGCGCCAGGAAGGAGGTGGGAGGGGAGGGCTCCACAGACCAGGCCCAGAGGCTCAGAGTAGTGGTAGCGGAGTGTCTCTGGGCACCATAGTCTGGGCTGAGGTGCCACTACAGGAGTGTGGGGAAGCAAGGGGTCCAGCTGTGAACAGGAGAGGGAGCAGGACTGTGCTGGAAACCCCGGGTACCCTGTCTGTACCTTTTGATTTCTGAAATAGGTGAGTCTGTTCATTACTTTTAAAAGATAAAATTAAAATCCAAAAGTGAAAAAATGGCACGCTGTTTTCCTGGGGCCCCAGTCTCCTTGAGAACCCAGGGAATCCTCCTGCTGGTGGCGTTCTGAGGCCACCACCTTTTTCTGGGCCAGCTCCACAGACAGCAGGAGCAAGCAGGACTCCCTGCTGGCCCCAGCTCGGTGCTGCCTGCCTGCCAGGACCGGGAGGGCAGGGCCGATGTGCCTCCTCACTGGTGGCTGTGACAGAGCGGCTCTTCTTGGCAGGAGACCTGGAGACAGCCCAGGGCTGGGCCTGCACCAGGGGCTGGGCTGAGAACAGCCTCCTGGCTCAAGGCCAGACGAACCCTTAGTTACAGCCAGGGCACACCACCCTTGCTGCACTGGACACAACCACCCTTTGCGTAAGCTCTGCAGGAACGTCCACAGGTTAGGAGGGACGAGACCGCGGGGGCTCTTCTCTGAAGGTCCCATGAACTGCGCTGTCAGGCACAGGGTGTGCTTAGAAGCACCAGGAACACTCCCCTGGTGCGGCGCAGGCCACTGTGGGCAGTGGGAAGCCTCACGGCCCTGGTTGATCTAGGTCCTGTGCTGGCCTGGAAACAGCTCACATGGGCGCTGGCACCTGAGCTGGGGACTGGGGGGAGGACTGCAGTGTGACCAGACCCTGCAGAGGGTGGCTGGGGGGAGGACTGCAGTGTGACCAGACCCTGCAGAGGGTGACTGGGGGGAGGACTGCAGTGTGACCAGACCCTGCAGAGGGTGGCTGGGGGGGAGGACTGCAGTGTGACCAGATCCTGCAGAGGGTGGCTCCCCCTCATGTGCGCATGTGCATTGTGTCATCAAGAAGAAAGTGATCCATGGCTGTGACCCCACAGCCGGGGCAGGGGTGGGTCTGTGCTGAGCAGTGACACCGACATGTGTACGCAGCACGTGTCCACGAGGAACGAGGACATGTGTGAGCAGAGAGCCCTTGCCCACGTGCGCCTGCAGAGGGCACTGCTGGCTGGGAGGAGGTGAGCAGGCACGTTAGTACAGAAACGCTTGGATCAGGGGGCTCGGCCTGTAGGGCTGTGTGTGGTATGCACATGCGTGTGCACACCAGGGCACTGGGAAAAGGAATACCTTAGCGTGCTGGGGTCTCAGCACCCAAAAAACGCTGTCCTAGACCCTGCCGAGCCCCAGCTGGCTCCAGCTGCACTGTGACTGGCCGCCTTAGAGAATGGGTGTCCTCTGGGTCCTGCCCACACGGCACTGCCCAGCCTGCTCAGCACAGGCGCCCGCCCGCAGCTGCTCCGCGCTCAGCCACTTACGGCAGGTGCATCTCCGCCAGCAGGGCCTTCACAGTGGTCTTCAGTTTCTCGGCAAAGTCCGCCTGGCTGGAGAGCCCCGGGGCCGCCGTGCTGAAGGCCACCAGCAGGACAGCCCCCAGGACACTCAGCTGCTCCAGCTGCAGTTGGAGCTCCCGGAAGCGGGACTGGTCCATCAGAACTGTCTGGAACAAACAGGGGTCCTGGCTGAGCTGCGGGGTGCAGCTGCTCCGTGCCCCCTCGGTTGTCTGGTCATCTAGGGGCCTGAAGGGAGTTGGAGTGAGTCCTGTCTCCTTCTGGGCACGGGATGCAGCCTCACGCTCCTTCAGAACACAGGACGGACCTGGGGACCCAGCTCCACTTCCCGCACGCCCTCCCCCAGGGTGGTGCTCAGGCAGGCTTTCCGGGGGTGGGTGCCGTACTTTCAGTTTTGCTGGAGGGTGTGTGTGCTTGCCAGAGACGGAAGGAGAGAGAAAGTGGAAAGCACCCCCATGGGGAAGGTCATGCCACAATCACCGCCCCTCCACCTCTCCCTCCTTTCAGGACACTGGACATGCACACACATGTGCCTGCGACCCGAACGGCACAGTCGGCCATGTGGACCGAGCACCGTGAGCACCATAACCACCAGGCCACAGCTGCCCACCATATTAAAGGTGAGGAAAAGGCCCCACACTCGCAGGCAGGAGCCACGTCGCCAGAGAGGGAAGAGCAGGGAGGGACAGGCCTGGGCACCAGCTCACCCTGGTTGTCTGCACAACTGTCCAGTTATAAAATGGAAGGCCCCAAGAACCCCTGAGGTCCCTGGAAAACCGAGATGTCGCCCTGCTCAAGCCAATGGTAGGAAGGGGCCAAGGAAGCCTGAGGGCAGAGCCTGCCCCTGTCACCCTGTGTCCCCTCGGCACCTGGCATGGAGGAGGCTGAGAACTGGCACATGAGAAAAGAGAAAACTAGCAGGTATATAATCTTGCCACGACAGCCCGGAGTTCTGGAAGGACTGAGGGTGCGTTTCCACCGCATCTTTTGTGAAGGAGCCCGGGGCCACCGGGCCACCGTTCCTGTGTAGGGACGGGGCAGGGAGGCGGAGCAGCCCTGGTGCCTGCCTGAGTTTCATCGGCTCATCAAAGGGACTTTGAGAGACAGAGATGTGCCGGATCCAGACAGGAACAACGAGGGTCACAGCCCAGAGTTCTCTCAACCAAAGATGTCAGAGAGCAAGACTCTGCTGCAGGCAGACGCGCTCCCCGAGCCGACCATGGTCTCGGCCTTCGGGCGCACAGCAGAGACCTCGCCCGCACCCCACTCTGTGGCCTCCCCACAGTACTTTGCCAACGATTCCCAAGGACAATTCTGGGAGCTGACATCTGTCCTCAGTGACCACAACCACTTCGTCATAGCCGTTTCTTGGTTTAGTTTTGATTTTTTTTTTTTTAGGCTTTTGCCACACTGCGAATGTGCTTACCAGAGAGGAACAGAGAAGAGGAGGATGACGGCCCGCCCTGGGGTGGCTACTGCAGTCCCTTCTCCATCTCCTTGTGGGAGTTCGCCATGTACCCACAAGCATCTAGCGTGATTTTCAAGCCACCAGGTCCAGGGCTTGAACCAGTCGGCCATGTGGGAGTCAAGCACATTATCCACCACGCCGCCTGCTGGCCCCACTCATGGCTGTTCTTCAAGAGAAACATCAGACCAAGAACTTCCCTCCAGAAATGAGCGTACAATTAGTCAGAAAGGAACACGGGTCCCAGTGGCCGACTGCATGCCGCCAGGAGTCAAGACCCTTCTTAGATCTCCCGCCATCCCGGAATGGGGAGTTCAGAGGCGAGAGATGAACCTTAAGCGAACGACTTCTTGAAAGGAAAAATACCGAGCTTATGAGGAAGACATTGGGAAAGTACAGGACCTGAGGCTAGACGTAAGAAGCCCAGAGCCTTCAGAAAAGAGGGAGGCAGGCCAGCAGGTGGCATGGCGGTTTTGGGGCTGGATCCCTACATGGCTCATCACAGTTTGAATCCCAGACCCTGTGGCTTTAAAATCATGCCAGGAGCCAACAGGTGGCACTGGACTCCCTCACAGCCAACCGCAGTTTGAGTCCCAGACCTTGTGACTTGAAAAACACTCCAGGCACGTGTATGTGCACGCCCAATCTTGAGAAGGGATTTAGTCACGGCCATCCCCACGGGGGCTGTTTTCTCACATTCCCTCCTCTGTCTCTTCCCTCTCCAGTGAGTGCATGCGTCCTCTGGCAAAAACCTACAAAGGACAAGACTGAGCGACCGCATAGAAACTACTTGTCGACAGCAGCAGAGCCCCGGCTGCACCCGTAAAGGAGAGCCTCAGCCACAAGGCCCAGGGGACCGGCCAGCAGGTGGTGAGGGCGGCTGGAGCCCACCTGAGCCCCAGACCCAGTGGCATGCGTGCCCAAAATCCTGGGGGGAGGAGGGATGCAGAAGGGACAGTGGCATGACCATCTTCCATGGGGGGTTCTCTCATTCTCTCCCTCTGTCCCCAATGAGCACATGCACCCTCTAATAAATGTTTTTTATAAGCACTCACTAGGAGGGAGCCAGTGCTGGGGCAGTGGTAACACAACTGGCCTCTCTTGGAAAAGGCCCTGGGCTGTGTCCCAAGACCTCTCTGATCACGCCAAGTGTACGTGTGCCTGTGAGCTGGGCCAGCGGGGGCCGGGAATAGATCATGGCATGGACTTGTTGGAGGTGCCGATTCCTGCCTGTCTCTCATGGGAGACCTAAATGAAGTTTGTTCCTTTGTTTGTTTGTTTTGAGAGGTTTTTGCTATAGGGCGTGTGCACTCGCCAGACAGAGACAGAAAGCGAGAAATCACTCCCCGGAGGGATGGCCACACCGCAATCCCTTCTCCTCCATTCTCCTCTCGGGATCTTGGGCACACATGCACACGCGCCCAGCATGAATTTAAGCCACCGGGTCTGGGAGCCCAGCGACATGGCCATTACACCAACTGCTGGTCCCCTAAATGAAGACCTTTTAAGAAAGTGCTTGAGCAACTCCCAAAGGTGTGCGTGGGTGAGATCTCTGACGACTGAGAAGTAGCCTGCTGTGGGGATTTAACAGGATGGCTGAAAACGGCGTGAGTTCGGCAGTGCCACCTAGCAGCACTGTGCACTGCCAGAGGGATCGTAAAGTCACCTCGAGTCACTGCGCAGCCCCATGGTGCTCGCCCAGGTACACAGCCCTGAGGACCGGAGACCTTCCTCCCCACGAACAGCTCGCCCAGGGTTCACAGGAGGACAAGTGGAGGGAACACTGACACTCGCTACAACGCGGTCACCGTGGTGGCATCCCGCTAAGAAAAGGTGCCTGACACAGATGATCAGGCGAGGTACCCAGCGCAGCGACACCAGACACTGGTGTGGATGGCTGCAGGGCCAGTGGTCACTGTGAGGGGCCGGCAGTGCGTGGTTTGGGAAGAAGACACGTCCTGGGGATGTGGGGACAGCTGCACTACGGGGCGCTGCACTGACGCCACTGGACTCGGAGTGACACGACGCGTGCTCGGCCATGATGAACCAGCGACTGGACGGGGCGTGCTGGGCAGCTGTGGCAGGAACACCCTGCTCATCACCGAGGGGTGCCACACAAGGGCCCACAGCCGCCCCTCCGTTGCTATGAAGTGCCGGGGACAAGTCCCTGGAGACACGCAGACTGGTGGCTGCCAGGGCTGGGAGGGAGGGGAGGATGGCGACTGCTCACGGCACGAGGGTCACGCTGGGGGACGGAAGGTGGTGGTAGTGGCCACAGCTGCGTAGCTCATGAATACACTGAAGACCAGAGTTGCTCTCTTTAAGGGAACTTCCTGGCACATAAGTAGCTTATAAAACCTTTTAAAAAGTTCACAGAGACCCATGAGCCATGGCCACCGCACCCACCTCAGGGAACGGTCTCCGCAGGTGGTCCCACTTCAGCAGCCTCAGGTAAGCGTGGTTCTGGATGGCGGTTGGGCTGGGTGCAGGCGCAGCCCCTGAGCCAGCAGCTTCCTCCCCGGCCAGCAGGGCACGTTTACACCTCTGGTTCCTGAGGTCATCCGAGGCTTCTTGCAGCCACTGGGTGACAAAGTCCAGGGAATCTGTGTGAACAGAGCTGCAGACATTACCACGACACACAGGAGGGCCTCTCAGATGGGGAGCAGGCGTTGAGCAGGAGCCTCAGAATCATGTGGGACCGGCTCAGATCCCGGTCCTGCCAGTCCCCAGCTGGGCCTCCTCAGGCAGGTGACTATGTGTCTGACTGCTGACCCGGATGTAGGAAACCACAGCGCTGCCCAGGACCCCGGGAGGAGAGTGGAGAAGGGCGTCTGCCTGGCCATCCCCCAGGGTTGATTCTCACTGTGCCCCCATCTCTGTCTCTTTCCAGGGAGCGCAAGTGCCCTACGGCAAAAACGAGAAAAGAGAAGAAAAGAAAGAGGCCACAGTGCACAGCTCATGGTGCACCTGCCGCTGCCTCCGTGGGTGTGCCACGCTGGGATGGACCGTGGCCTACGGAGACCCACTGTGTCCTGGATGGTGGGAGGAGACGGCTGACATACCCTCTGTCTTGCCCCGAGCCTTCCTCGTCAGACCGGTTAACCTGGGCGGGGAGGAGGTGTCCCAAGCCCGTGTACCCCACAGCTTCTGGGCCTCACGAGGAGCTGCCGTGCCGCCGTGAGCACTGCACGGGTGCCACGTACTCGGCTGCTTCTCCAGGAGCTCCTGAAACTTCCTCCTCTCGTACTCCACCGACTGCTGCATGAGGTGTGGCCGGATGCTGCTCACCGCGAAGTTGGCCATGTCCACTTTCATCATGTCCAGGACGGCAAAGATGGCCCTGAGGGGAGAGGCAGCGGGCTTCAGAACCTGGCACTTGTTTCGTGTTTAGGTTTTAACCATAGGGTGCACGCACTCGTGGGTGAGAAAGAGCAAGGGACAGTGAGAAATCAGCTCCCAGGGGATGGCCACATCACAGTCCCTTCTCCATTCTCCTCTTAGGATTGGGTGTGCATTTTCACACCACTGGGCCCAAAGCTTGAACCACAGCTGACATGCTGGAATCCAAGGCCTTAACCACCACACCACCTGCTGGCCCCATTCTTCTCTTCTTTTAAATTCTAATAGAGGGCACGGTGCACTCACTGAAGAGAGAGAGAGAGGGGATAAGGGAGAGGGAAAGCGAGAAAGCAAGCCCCACTGGAATGGCCATGCTGCAAGCCCTTCTTCGTTCTGCCTCCTTTTAGGATTTGGGACACACATGTACTCAGTTTGTTTTTCAAGCCACTGAGTCTGAGACTGGAACTGCCCAGTTGGCCATGTGGGATCCAGCTGCTTTAACCCTGTGCCACCGGCAGGCCTACCGTTTTAAATATCGTTTCAAGCACCCAAACCTTGAGAGAAAGGAAGAGAAGGGATTGTGGTGTGGCCAGATCCCGCAAGTGTTTCCTTACTCCCCCTCTGGTATCTGTCTCCAGGGGTACACATGCCCCATAGCAGATCTAAAAAACAAAAACTACACAATTTCACAGGAAAAGAGGCGAGCTGATTGAGATAGTCATTTTTCATTTAAAAAACAAAGATGATTTCTTTCTTCCCTCCATGGGACAGAGAGAGCAAGGCGAGAAAGCCTCCAGCAGTCCTCACACAGCCACCAGCAGCCAGCACCCACAGCCCTCCACCTTTCTAGCCCAGAACTTGCTCCTTGGCTCTGGGTCAGCGCTCACCGCAGCCACGGAGGAAGGACAGGGCCCACGCCCCACAGGTGGGGCACGTGCTCACCGCCCTGCCTAGTCCCCCACATGCACCGACTGCTGCGTAGCTCATGAACACACTGAAGACCAGAGTCGCTCTCTTTAAGGGAACTTCTTGGCACGTAAGTAGGTTAGCTCCCTTCCCTGGGAAGAAAGAGCACCAGGCTCTCCTCCTGTCTCCCACACTTCAGGGCCTGTTCTGTGCTCCGGCTCTGGCGCCTCACCACCAGTCCACACTCGGCGCGGCCAGAGGCAGCCTTGGCCTGGCTTGGGGCCAGGGCTGCTTCCACTCTGCCTGCACAGCTTCGCTGCACCTGCCACGCGTTGACAGCTGCCAGGGCTTGCAGTGAGGCAGTGCAGAACCCGGTGGGTGCAGTCGTGGCCCCCACAGGAGGAGTGGGGCCGAATGTGCCCTGAAGTCCTCATCACCCTCGGGGATGACTGGAAGCACATCCAGGAACAAAGCCACTTCCGCCCATGGTGTGGGAAGACACGGGCTGAGGACCAGGACGACGTTGTCCTCTGCACCCGGCCCCCGCTGCCTGCATCTCCTCTCCTGGAAGGATGCTGCTGCTCCTCGGCTCTGCCACTGCAGGTTTCAAACCCGAGGCCTCGGCACTGACGGTGGCACCCCTCACGGAAGTAAGTGATGTGTTTTGTGCAGACGGGTGTTTTTAAAAACCTGGTTTTCCCGCCTTTTGGAAACACGGGCGCAGTCAGCGGGACCAGAGACGCCCGACTTCCCTCACGTAAGCCCCTCCTTCACCCACCTCCCAGGCCACCCTCCATTCTGGAAGGAACTGGAGCTTGCTGCAAGGTACTTCCCAGAGGACTCTCTTCAAAGGGACTTCATTGACCTCGGCCATAGCTGACCATTCTCGGTCATACGCTGCCTGTACAGAAGAATGTCTACACTCGGGGTGAAATGTCACAACACCTGCCACTAGTTTTCAGAGGGCCCAGGGGAGAGGGAGCACCCAAACACTACACAGTCACCTACAGGCAGAAAGAGAAAGCAAAGGGGCAGCGTGCAGAAACACACAGCCCCGAGAAGGGGTGAGCTCCGTACCGCTCTGGCAACTTATCTGCAGATTTGGGACTTTTCCAAATAAAACACGGAAGGGACCTGCTATGTGCAAACGTAGTGGGCCCTCGACATCTGCAAGCTCTGAAACCCGGGCTCGGCCGGCCCCCATGCTGCCAGCCTCATGAACTGCCATGAAATGTGGAAGAGGAGGTTCTCAAGACCGAGGTGACTGTCCTCCCGAGCAGAGAGAGCACACAGTGCGCGGGGCGTGTGGGTGGTGGAGCCGGGCATCCATGGATTTGGGAACCCATGGGGCTCCTGGACCAACCCCTGGCAGATACCAAGGGATGACTGTGTGTGTGTGTGTGTGTGGGGGGGTTAATGCACGTTGCACATGTGCATTCACACACACTCATAAAAGACAACGGTGACAGCGTCACTGCACGGTAAAATTATGGAGAAATTTCTTCCTTCTTTCTACTTTTCTGCACTTTATGAAATGTTTGCTTTAACAATGTGTTTAAATTCACAAGCACCTATTCCCAAAGCTTAAATTAAAAAAATGGGCCGTGGGCCTGAGCATGCGCCTGCGGTGCCCCGTGTGAACGAGTACCCCCACACCTGAACAGAGGGACAATCTCCGTAATGTCCTTCAGCTTCTGCACGTCCTCGTCACGAGCAGGCGCGCACAGTGTCCCCATCACGCCGATGATGAACTCCGCCAGCCGCGAAATGTCCAGGGCCCCGTGCTCCGCCTCCTGTTTTATCAGGTCCAGGTCCAAGACTTCTGTGATCTGGTTTCTCAGCCGGGTGTGGCCAGGCAGCAGGAAAGACAGGAGAGTCTGCCGGAGAGCACAGCAGAGGCTAGCCCCGGCCTGCGGCCGTCCCCTGGTCACTGAGGAAGAGCTTGTTGAGATCAGGCTTACCAACCACTACCACACTGCTGCACCTGCTCAACCTCCGACTCAGGAGAGCGACAGAAAGCGTGCTCACAAGCCACTTCGAAAAGCTATTTAGGCCTCCACTACACTCTACGTAGCAATCAACTAGACATGAGGAAAAAATGATGAGAAAAAGAAAACTCCTTTATTAATGTGAACCGGGAACTAACCACAGACGCCTATTTCCTCAGAGGCATTTCTTCTTCTTTTTTTTGTTTTTTAGAGATTTTCACTGTAGGGCGTGTGCGCTCACCAGACAGACAGAGAGAGACATAGAGACAGAAAGCGAGAAATAACTGCCCCGGGGGTGGGGGATGGCCATGCAATCCCCTCTCCTCCATTCTCCTCTTAGGATCTTGGGCACGTATGCACACGTGCCCGGCATGAGTTTAAGTCACCGGGTCTGGGACTTGAACCGCAGTCGACTACATGGGAGTCCAGCGGCATAGCCATTACTAACTGCTGGTCCCCCCAAATCTTTTTAAAAATATTTTAAAAATAATTATTTTATTTAGTTTTATTCATTATCATTATTATTTTTAGGGAGAGATTATTGCTATAGGGTGCATGCACTTGCCAGAGAGACAGAGACAGAAAGCGAGAAATAACTGCCCCGGGGGTGGGGGATGGCCATGCAATCCCCTCTCCTCCATTCTCCTCTCAGGATTTAGACACACATGCACACACGCCTTGTGTGAGCTTTTAAGCTGCTAGGTCCAGAGCTTGAACCATGGTTGACTACGTGGGAGTCTAGTGATATAACCACTATGCCATGTGCTGGTCCCTCATTATCATATTGTAATTTGACTAGAAAGAGATAGCAAGAGAGAGGGAAAGTGAGAAAGCAAGCTACCAGGTCTTGGACTCGAACCATGATCAGCCATGTGGGAGTCTAGCACCTTAACCACCATGCCACCTGCCCGCCCACATGCCCAAATCTTTTTTTTTTTAATTTTTAAATTTTTAAATTTTTTTGGAAAGGTTTTCGCTACAGGGCGCGTGCGCTCGCTAGACAGACAGAGAGAGACTGAGAGACAGAAAGCGAGAAATCACCCCCCGGGGGGGATGGTCACACCGCAATCCCTTCGCCTCCATTCTCCTCTCAGGATCTTGGACATCCATACACATGCACCCGGTATGAGTTTAAGCTACCGGACCTGAGACTCAAACAGTGGTCACCTATGTGGGAGTCCAGTGACATAACCATTACGCCACCTGCTGGTCCCATGCGTGTCCAAATCTTAAGAGGTGAGTGGAGTAGAAGGGACTGTGGAATCACCATCCCCTAGGGGGTAACTTCTCACTTGGTCTCTCTGGCAAGCACATGCACCCCTACAGCAAAAACTTAAGAACAAAAGAAAAATAGCCCTTCTGCTTAAAGCCTTCTCTATCCCAAAGCCTGGCTATTATAAATCAAATGGGTCCGTGTCTATAAAACGTATAAATAGTCTGTATTTGGTAAAGTAACTTTTGTTTTCAAGTAACTGTTATTTTTGTTTGTTTGTTTTGTTTCTAAAAAACCTATTTTTAAAAAATTAATTATTTTGTTTATAAGAGCAATTAATGCCTTCAGGTTACCATGGTTTGCTTGAAATTAAAAAAATAAATAAATAAAAAGGTATTAGGTCAAATGCTCTTAATCCACGTTTCAGCAAGTGATGTAACTTCTTGATCCCTTAAAGACACTGGTGCACCACCACGCAGGGCTGAGGAAGCCCCGACATGGAGATGGCAGGCCTGTCACACGCCGCTGTCTCACCTCTCTGATCTCTCCCACCAGCTTGATGGCGTGGTCGTAGGCCGGGGGGTCTTCCCCCAGCTGGGCGCCCAGACAGTCCCAGAAGGCTTTGTGGACTATGTCCTTTATCCTCTTCTCCAAGCTGGAGGCGAGGACAAAACGACACAAAACAAATGAAGTACATAAGCCTCAAATCATCTTCAAAAGCACGAATTCCAGGGGAAGGGGAAGAAGTCTTAAAACTGACTTGAACCAAGAGTGATTTCCCAGACACACGTCAACGGCCGAGTGCCCAGCCCAGCAGGTGGAGGGAGAAAGGGTGATGGTGTGAACAGAGCCTGCGCGGGTGCTCTCGCGTCCCTTCCCGCCACTCTCCCGTGGACACACACCACAGCCCGCATCACCGATAAGGGAAGAGCGCACAGAGGCAGCAGCTACATCGGCTGACTAGGCGGGTGACAGGAGGCGCCCAGGCTCCTTATTTGCATGGAGAAGGACCAGTGGTCTTGAGATCCACTTTCAAACTTTACTCAATTTTTTTTTTAGAGAGTTTTTGCTATAGGGCATGGGTGCTCGCCAGAGAGACAGAAAGACAGGAAGCGAGATATCACCCCACCCCCACCCCCATGGCCAGGCCACAATCCCTTGTCCTCCATCCTCTTCTCCAGATCTTGGGGCATGTGTGCCTGGCTTGAGTTTTAAGCTGCCGGGTCCAAGACTTGAACCGCGGTCAACTACCTGGGAGTCCAGTGAGGTAACCATTATGCCATCTGCTGGCACTAAGACCCTTTTTTTAAACCAATAATGTACGAAAGGAAAAAATATATTGAACTATGTTAGCGCTGACTGAAGGAAACACCTCCAGAACTGGGAGATGGCAGTGTTCTACAGAGCAAGGTAACCTGGCGACCCCTTACCTGTCTTCTGGTAACTCGACCGGTTTAATCCGAAAGTCCCCATTCACCACGATCTCGTGGGCGAGAGCCATGTTAGTGACTCCTTTTGCTGTCTCCAGCAGTTCCTCCGCTGTCACCAGTCGAGAAGGACTAGCTGTAACGAAAGGCCAGGGTAAGGGACGCGCTCCTCGACATCAGCGTGCCCACCAGGAGCAGGGTGCAGACTTCAGGACGCCTCTCCCGAACCATTCTGGCACTTCCGGACAGCCCCGAATTACACCTATTCCCTGTATTTTTCTTTCCTTTTAACTTAGGATTCTAAAAGCAAAGGTTTACAACACTCAAAACATCTAGCTTTTTACTAAGAACAGACAGTGGAAAATGATTACAACACATTGAGAAAGAAAAACTTAAGTCGCAGGTGCTCGTAATTTTCCCAATAAGCTAAGGTTTATTTTCTATTCCTCTTGCCTCCTAACTACCCTAAAAGACAAAAAGGAGACACCGTGGGACCAGTAGGTGGCGTGGTGATTAAAGACACTGGATTCCCACATGACCAACCATGGTTCAAGTCTTGGACCTGGTGGCTTGCTCTGTGACTTTCCCTCTCTCTATCTGATCAAACTGAAAAAGAATAATAATAATAATAGTAATAAATAAAGTTAAATAAAATAATTTTTTTAAAAAAGGAGACACCGGATTTAAGATCTTTTCTCTGGCTGCCATGGGCAGTTCACTTCTGCGCCATCACTAACACTGTTGAACCAATCTCTCCAAGGCAAACAGCAGTCCGTTCAGGCGCCAGGGGCTGTGTGAACAACGCTAAAGCCCCCACGCTGTGCAGGACACCCACAAGGCGCCAGAACTCTGGAGCCAGCCAACGACCAGGCAGATCTGCAGTCTTCGTTCTGGAGACTGCAGACCTGGTGAACCAGCAGTCTGAGGAAGAGCCATCTTTAACGTCTCCCTTTCCCGCTGCGGTCACCCAGGCGTGGTCCTCTGTGCGGACGGCTGCCCTGGCGTGCCAGGCTCATCGCTGGCCTCGGGCTTCTCTCTTTTGGTAAAACTCGAGATTCACCTTCCAGAAAGACAGTTTTGGTTTTCTTTTTGTTGTTTTGTTTGTTTTTTAGTTTGTTTTGTCTTAGGGTGTGTGCGCTCACCAGAGGGGGAGAAAGAGACAGTGAGAGGGGAAGTGAGAAATCTTCCCCCAGGGGCATGGCCACGCTACAATCCCTTTTCCATTCTCCTCCCAGGATCCTGGGCACGCTCACATACTCGCCCAGCGTGTTTCAAGCCACAGCGTCCAGGACTCAACGGCAGTCAGGCATGTGGGGGTCCCACCATACGCTGGCCTCTAGAAAGATAGTGCTTATACAATTCTCCCCAGGGTCCTGAACCACAAAGGCAGTTTTCATCCTGACCGAGTCTATGGCACTGCTCTCAAACTTCAGCCTAGGGCAGAACCAGAGAGGCCCTGTGGTAAGACTGCAGGCTTTGATGTACGTCTGAGCAGAGCTGAGAGTGTGCGTGTCTGGGGCGTCTCCAGGTGAGGCAACGGTTCTGAGACTACAGTCTGAGAAGCACTGGCCTAGAAGGTGCCACGTTCATTTCATGTGGTGGTGGTAAGAGCTGGGCTTAGAACGAGGTAAGTAAAGTCACTAGTTTGCAAGGGCTTAATGGTCACAGAGATCCTGTTAGGTTAGTGAAGTTATTTCCTTCTTTTGCTCACCAAAAAAAAATGTTAAAAGAGAGAGAGAGAGAGAACCAGATCGAAAAGCTGGTCATATCCTGTGATCAAACAGGGAAGTGGGAAAAGTTCTGAAAATTCCTCCTCACAAAAGTCTCAGCATTTCCAAAGAATATTAATAAGAATACAGATTGTATGAATGAATGAATGAATGAATAAGTAAAACAAGCTTCTTGGATATTGGTAAAATATAATAAATACCCTATGCCAAAGCCCATATTAATCTTTCCAATTTCCAGTATTAAAACGTCAATTTTCCCCCAAATCAACCTACTGATTAAGTGCAATCGCTTTCAAAATCTCACCAGACTTTTACAGAAATTATTTAATTTTATTTATTATTATTTTTATTTAACCATTAAGAGAAAGGGAGGGAGGGAGAGAGGGAGAAAGCAAGCCTCCAGGTCCAGGAATTGAACCACGATTAGCTATGTGGGAATCTAGCACTTGAACCACCATACCACCTGCAGGCCCCAATATCAGCAGACTTGTGTGCTGAAATTACCAAATTGATTCTAAAATTTATATGAAAATGTAAAAAAAACTAGAAAATCAAAAAAATGTTTTCAAAAAGAATAAAGACAGAGGACTTAACACTGATTTCAAGACTAACTACAGTACTTCAGTAATTAAGACTGTTTTTGGTCCTGACCCTCTGGAAGGAGAAAATGTTTGGGAGTATTCTTATTTTGTGGCAGAAGAGTTATATGCACAAGTTCAACAATGCCTGTTGCCTTGCATCAGAAATGAGAAATACTCGCTACTGCCAGGGCTTCGACTGGAATGCTATATCTGAAGATCTGACCAGAAAGCTATAAAACTAAGGTAGATCTCAAGAAAGCCAACAGAGCTCCTGGAAAGATGGCCTGGCACCGTAAACAGTTCTGCTTGGCAGAGAGGATTAGAGAAGCCATATGAAAGAATTTGTACCAGGACCAGCAGTTGGCATAATGGCTATGTTGCTGAACTCCCATGTAGTTGACCACGGTTCAAGTCCCAGACCCAGTAGCTTAAACTCATGCTGGGCACGTGTGCGTTCGTGCCCAAGATCCTGAGAGGAGAATGGAGGAGAAGAGATTGCAGCGTGGCCATCCCCCTGGGAGGTGATTTCTCACTTTCTGTCTCTCTGTGTCTGTCTGTCTTTTTGGCATGTGGCCTATAGCAAAAACCTCTTCAGGAAAAAAAAAAATAAATAAGAACTTGCATCCAGAATATCTAGAACTCTTACAACTCAGTAAGAGAAGATAACCAAGAAAAGTGGACAAAAATGGGGCTGCTGGACGGAGGCACAGCAGCAGTGACACTGTGGGGACCACGTGGGGGTTCCGTATTCACCGCCAGACACCTCCTGGTCTGCACACCTGCTAGCGACCCAGGGCCAGCGGAGGTGGAGGTGACGACCTGTGCGATGCTTGTCTCTCTCCTGCTCATGGAAGCAAGAAAGAAGCACTGAAAAGACACAAAACAAAAGTCCTCCTGCGCAGACGTGCAGGTAATGAAATCACCACAATGGCCACACTCGTCCAAACCCCAGCAAGTGATCCTGGCATCTTTTTAAAAAATAATTATTTTATTTATTGTTACTATTATTACTATTATTGTTTAATCTGAACACAGAGAGAGAAAGTAAGTAAAGTCAGAAAGTAAGCCACCAGGTCTGGGACTTGAACTGTGGTCAGCCATGTGGGAGTCCAGCACCTCAACCATCGCACCAGCTCCCCACCTCCCGGCCTGATCCTGGCATCTTTAAATGCAACTGATGACGTAACATCGGGAGCAGCGACAGTTAATAACAACTAGTGTTTATCCAGCACTCGTGTGCCAAGCAATATTCTAAGCATTTTACAGGAATTCATGTACTCGTTACAACTACGCTGAGAGACAGGTACATCTGCCTCATTTCGAAGACGGGAAAACAGATGCTTTCCAACTGCACATACTGGGGACAAGGCCTAACACACACGTGGCAGACAGTTCTGTCAACGGCGTGTTCCCTAGACAGACTCTGACCTCATCGTTCACCAAAATCTACGTGATGATGAACAGCAGAAAACGAGCCTCACGAGTGGGTGCTATGAGAACACTGTTGGCCAGTAAAGTACCTGAGAAAAGCTTCGATCATTTTAGAAGAAACACACCTCAAAACCCCAAAATATCTGCACTTCTTCCAAACATGGAGAATTACTGATGCGTGCACGGTAGAGAAGTGCCATCGGTACTGACGCTCTTGGACTATGACTCTCCCTCTAAACTTTCATTTTTGGACTCGCTTCAAAAGCTTAAGTATTCTTTATAAAAGGAGTGAGCTGGCGGCTGCTGGGAACACCTGCAGAAAACGCTCTCCCCTTCATCTCTTGGCTTGCTCCCTGCCAGGCAGTGGAAATGACTTCACACACCGTCAGCGAACCCAGTCCCCTCGACCCGGTGGGAACGAGGCCCCAGGCAGAGAAGTTAGGGTGTGGTGACCTCACTCACATTCTTTAAAACTGCATAAGCACAGTCGTGGCTGGAAAATCAGCCTCAGACTTCAGCTCTTTTAACCAACGCTGTAACCTGCACTCCTTCTTCCTATTTCTCAGAGAACTTCAGAGAAACTGGAATGCCACTGAGGCTGGAGAAAGATAGGAACATTCTGGACATTATTTTAATTTCTCATTAAATTGAAAACCCACAAGTAACTAGGCTGCTGGGGAGAAACCGCCACTATTCTGCGATGCTAATTACTCATATGTCACGTGTTATTAGGACCTAGCTCCAGGCCACATGCACAGGGAAGCCGGATTCCAGGGTCACCAGCAGACAGCCTGCCTGCCCAAGCTGGATCTGCTTACAGTGAGGTCTATGCACTCTCTGGGGGCTGGGAGTGTCCGACTTTATTTTTTTCTGTAAAGCTCCATCAGAACCTTCCACAGCATCTTCAAGGCCTTCATCCGATTTTGATTTTCCTGCTTTGCTTAGATTAGACTTGTCAAGGTTTTCAGACATTCTCAGCTGAGTTTATTCACTCTCCTAGGAAAGAAAAAAAATTGAAGTAAAAGTTCTCTGCTCAGTAACTACCAGCAACGTGACTGCCGGTAACCACTGCATCTGAGTTTCAGCGTCCTCATCTGCACAACGGTGCGCTTGCTAAGAGCCTATCTAGCTACGATACTCTATTTTTTTTTTTAAGAGAGATTCCTGCTACAGGGTGTGTGCGCTCGACAGAGAGACAGAAAACAAGAAATCACCTCCAGGGGATGGCCACGCCACAAGCAATCCCATCTTCTCTCAGGATCCTGGGCATGCACACACATGCGTCAGGCATGCATTTTAAGCCTCTGGGTCCGGGACTTGAACCGTGCTCGATTATGTGGGAGTCCAGCGAGGTAATTAATATGCCATTTGCTGGTCCCAGTAAGATCTCTTTTAACTACATTAAGTTTTTGTCAGGTTTTTTCCCCTAGTTGTTTTCCCTGGGTTTGTTTAATCCTAGGGTATTTCTAATTAAGGGAGAGAAAAAAAGACACAATGTCTCTGAGTTTACAACACTGAAAATCGGAAAGAGCTGTGTACCTTTAGCACCTGAAGATCACAAAACACTTTCATAAACACCAGACTTTATCCCACACCTGGAAGGTCATCAGGGAACCAAGACAAATGTCACCAATTTGGGGGAGGTCTGGTGGACTCGCTTCTGCAGTTAGAGAACCCTTGATAGGATTTTCTGAAATGTCAGAGACTTCCATGAAACAAGAAAGCTACTGGAAGGCAACGCTGGGGCCTGTGTTAATACACTGGTTGACACGAGAGTGGCTTCACTTTACCTTCTAACACCCACCTCTCCTCTGGCCTAGATCCTGCTAGGGTCTGGAAATGCTCCAAGAGCCAGCATATTCTAAGAGGAAGGACAAACAATCTCGCTTCTAATTTTATCCCTTTCACAGGCTGAGCAGGAGCCCAGGAAGGATGAAGTAATTCCCTTGTGCTGAGGGGGGAGGCAGGACTGCTGGGTCTCAGGCCCGGGGCGAGCTAACGCGGTCCTTCTACGCTGCGGTTCAAATCCCGCCTCCTCCCAGGACACCGCCCTGCCCTGCCCAGGGTCCCCCTCCATCTGATCTCGGGTAGGGCTGGCTACTGGCCCCGCGGCCTTCGTTGTTGCCTTAACTCCGGCCCCACACCCATCTCGGTGGACAGGCGGGGACAGACATACTGCCAGGAAGGTCGGGGAAGTGCTCGGCCGGGAAAGACCGAGAAAGACCCACGGTCCGGGAGGAGGCTGCGGCAGCTTCCCAGAAAGATGCCGCGAGCGGGCCTTTGCGAACCGAACCGTAGGTTTCCACCCAACCAGCGGTGCCCGGAGGCCCGGAGGGCCGGGGCGACAACCTGCTGTCCCGTCTTCACCTGGATTTCCTCCGGAGCCGGTCACAAGCTCCGCGGGTGCAGGAGGCCCGCCGGGATCTGCTGTCCCCTCTCGGCCCCACCGGCCCCGGCCCCAGCCCCTGGCCGCGGGCCGGCCGCTCCCCGCCCGTAAACATTACCAATTTTTCTTAAAACTTATATTCCTTTGCTTATTAAGTTTGAAGTAAACTGGTTTTACTACTACATTAACTATGAAAAAATCATTTTGTTAGAAGG